GAATACTACTTTTCTTGCTTGAAATCGAACTCTTTGTACGATCACACAGCTTGTGGTGCACTGCAGGCTCCATGCTCACACTACTATTTTTTCTATAGGATTTCAAATCCTCTGCTTTAGGCATTGCGTCTACTTGTACAATGGGTTCCATTACGTTCTTTTCATTGACTTTGATGGTATCAATAACAATGCCATTGTTTTTCGGCCTCTCAATAATGGATGGCACTACAGGTAGTGGATCTTTGACTGGTTCAGTGCTCTGTGGCAGAATGTATAAAGGAGTAACAACTCCATGATTAATAGACTTTTCATTGATGACTCTAATCGGGTGTGGCGAAATACTTCTAATACTGAGGTTGGAATGTAATGATTTCACATCAGAATTGCAGTTGAGACAGAGAGAATTCTTCATTTCTCCGCTTGAAATAGTTTGTGTGGCGACTGAGTAATAGGTTTCATTGTAGCAGAATGGTTTGTTTTGAGATTTATTGCAGGTGCATGTATCACAGTGTTTGGTGACAGTGTCTTGGATGCTGTCTTCGAGGATTTTAGACATTAGAGAGGCTGAGATATTGAATTCATATTCACTGGCATCAAAAGTGTCAATGTCATTACCATTTTTGGATTGTGTTGAGCTCGACGGTTTCGACGTCTTAGACATGACGTACTGAGACACTCGCGCCTGCGTGTCAACAGGAAGCTGTGAAAAAAAATACTTGGTTGAGCACATTTTCAAGGTATTGCACCAACAATGTTATCACTGGAAATGTTCTTACGTTATCCAATTTCTGCGAAACAAAATTATCCGGCTTACACTGGAGCAGCTGAATCGCCAGATTCATATCATTCTTGTATCTCTCCTGCAAAAAACATAAAATATTAACATAACCAGAATGTATATTAACTTTTCTGGGGACAAAGAAATTACACTTACATTTTCTTTTTGCAACATGCTATAGTTATGCTTTGACTCGGCTAATCTCACAGATAAAGTAGCAATATCTTTGGTTAGTTGACTTTTCTCTCCTTTCATCTTATCCACCATCTGTAGAAGCTTGTCTTCAAGGACCTGATTCAATTTCTGCACTCTCTTATGTGAATCATATAACCTGTGAATAAGATGAATAGATAGAAATACATGATAAGAATATTTAAAAAAATTATCGGTATAAACAAATTGCCATTTTACATAGTTGGTGTCAGGGTCAATATCATGTCAACTATATAATCAATCAATCATCTACTGCTTTAAAGAAATATACAAAAACGACTCTTTAGCTCTTTTTACTTCCATTATGCAGGTACTACTCAACAACTACGAATGCACGGTTGGCGCGGTAGCTGGGCCACTGGCTGCCGCGCAACGTGACGCGAGTTCGATTCCCGCACAGGACCCCTCTTTTTGTGATCCACAAATTGTTGTTAATGTGAAATTGTATGTTTGTAAACACACCCATGACACAGGAGGAATTACTGGGAGTGAGGCAATGTTTTAATATAAAAAAAAAAACTGTGTGATTCACAACTTCCTATTTTAGATTTGTGTGTAAAGGAATAATTGTGTAGCAGACAAAATTCTACTCATGAGTATGAGCAACTAGAGTAACTTGAAACTAGTTATTAAGGTATTTAACTAGTATTGTCAACCAGTCATGTGACTTACTCACAAAACTTAAACATAATAATTTAATATGTCTCATGGAAGTTATATCAGGAATTACAGAAATAAAAGATTTATTAATAGTTGCATTTATCTGCCTACCTTTCATACTTCTCCCGCCAGGTGCTAACTTGTTCCTCTAAATCATTGACTCTTGAATTAGTCTTGATGAACTCTCCTTCAAGAGCTACAATGTGACTGTCCCGTTCTGAGAGGTGTTGCCGCAAGTGTTCCACTTCGGCATGTAACTGCAACCCCTCGGCATCACCGTCACACTCCTAGCAATTTTGTGCAACATCAAAACAAACAAGCAAGTGTGGAGATACTTTACATTGAGAACATATTTTAGAGAAACATAAAATGCTTAAATTATTTACTTTTTAAATATTCATGTTAATGTATTAAGGGTTCATAAACATATCAATATGTTTGTGTATATATATATATATTAGTAGTCAATTTATGTGATAAAATATCATTAAACTTTATAATAAAATGTTTCTTCGTTTATTTACACAAGAATACTTTTGAATCAATATGCAAAAACCAAACTAGCTTTGTAACAAATAAAACTTGTTATTTGAATTGTTTTTTCCTTAACAGTGTTTATAGAATCTTGTTACATTCATGCAAGAAGTGAGTAATTAAGACATAACATGTTTACTTCTCAGAAAAGCAAGGGAAGAGGTGTGATTAGTTCCATGCAAATTTCACCTATTACACTAAACACACAGTAAATCTACTTAGACAGTTTTCCTCCATATTATTAACCTACATCTGTGTGTTATTTTGTCGAGGAAGTAAAGAACATAAGGTCAATAAAAAACTTGACTAATGAACCAACAATTCAACAACATTTTATGTTTCTCTAAACATAGAAAATGAATAAAATACTACACTTTGAAACTATCATTGCTATAAAAGTGAACATTGAATTTTCAATAAAGTGTAAATATGCAAATGCAAATTAGAAAAGAAAAGCAATGTGCATTCTATGTTAAATAATCACTCAAATTACAAATATCAATAAAATTACTGTTTAAGGTTTTACTAGATTATTTTTAATGAGATTTTACCATTTGAAACAGCTTAACCTTGCATAAAAGTCTGGTGAATGTAAATAGTTACCAGATTCATGTTTCATGTTTTACAATACATAATCAATGATTTCTTATCCCCTTGAGCTCTGAATCATTACAAACAATATTTACACTTAAGAGAACAAAACTAATAAAGTATTTGGAAGATAAAAATGTATAGCCATTATTTTCTAAAACAACTGTATGCACTAATGGCATATCTAATCAAAGCAAAATCAATTAATACTTAATTATCAACCACAAGAAAAGACCAGCTTAGAACTTTCTACAACCAGAAGACGATTAAACAGCAAAACATTGGTCAATTTTTACCTTACAAGGGGAATTCTTAGTACTCTCATCCATTGCAAGCTTTAACTATTACTTCACATTTCAGATTATCGTACTTCCAATTTGTCGAATTAATTGAACAACGTCACACACAAAGTGATTTTATTAGCTATTTATTACCAATAAGCCACTGTTAAAACAAAATAAAATAAAATCAATCTTGACACACAACGTGAAATATTTACTTATTTTATATGCTTTTGCCAGCTGCCAATGTTTAATGACTCATATAATCAATTTACTTTTTATATATAACTGTAAATGTTATATACATAATGAATTTAACTCAAAATTGGATTTTCCCGAAAGAAAATTCCTTCTGTGATGTGAATTTCGATTATGTGGCTGGATAAACCAACTGACGTTTGTCAAACGTCAATTAAAATTTTATCATTTACACAACGACAAGCCGCGCTTGAAACCAAGGATTTTGCGTTTGTCTGTGGAAAATTAGCGTACATTTTTATTTTTAAATCCCATCTCATTTATTTTTCGGTGTGTTATTATCTCTATTCCTGTAAAATAAACAAGTAACATAACATTTAGTGACAAAAATGCTATTCATAATAATAAGAAATTGACAATTGATGCCAGCAGCATACATTCACGTATTCTAATGTGTCGAATTTCTTCGATGGATTTTACACTTTGTTACAAAACTTTAAAGCAGCAAATATATTGAAATTTCTTTCCTATATGTTTTTGATACAGTGTGGGACTTCGACAAGCGACAATGGGCACTTGCAAAATTAAAGGAGTCACATATTTGTATTGCCGACCTTAGCAATTGGGGATTGCGATTGGGATTGGGGAATGTGCATTGTATACCGGAAATTCAGGATTGTCATTGTTAATTGGGATTAACAATTGGACGTAGGAATTGACATTTTGGATTAGGGTATTCCAGTCCCTCCTGAGAATATTCTCTATTGAGAATAGGCATTGGGAATCGAAGATAGAGGGCATTCACAGGACAAAACACCAGTTAACCTTGATTCTTCACCAAGTATTTTTTTACGGAACATGTAATAAAATAAAGTATAAAGGTTCCTACATGGTTCAATATTTACCATTAGGTTAAAAACTGCATTTATAATAAATCTATTTATCGACATTGTCTTGTAGATACCTACCTAATGGCACTTCATCGAAAAAGGCTTAATACATTACTTACTTACATAATCGCCTGTCCTAGCTAAAGAACTACGAGTATAAGTAAAGTACTAATAGTTAATTTTTGTGATACCGTAATCACCAGTTCCAACCCAGTAGGTATGTTCCAAATTTTAGGTATCCTTTTTTTGTGAGGGGAAAATAATCAAATGACTTCTCCTGCCTAGGGTCGGGCGGGGGGAGTGTCAGACTCTTTCTGACTAAAAACCCCCCTGTTCCTTCTCCTGCTCTGGGCCGAGGTCGCGGTGCCTCATTGCGCTTACCCCGCAACCCCGGCAAATTTTAGGTATCCTTAATGAGTTATCTATTAAAAAAATCAAGTTCACCTCAATACCTATATTAAGGCACAAGATTTTGAAATTTACCGTGAATGCCTTTCCACGATTACTTACTCTCAATAGGTACGCAAAGTGCAAACACAACCAGACAAGAAATATTTTTAACTACGCATCTATTTTTCACCAGGTTGTGAAAGAGTTGAAATGGCCCCAAGTTTAGATAATTCTCTACTAATTTAGTTTTCATACGTATTTAAATACCTATACAATATATGTATTTAAGAAGGACTATAACTTCTACTGAAGGACACATTACAAATCTTGTAAGTATTCTGAGAATTTGATGAAAATACCTATTAAAAATAAATATTTACGGAGGATTTTCCGAAAAAAAACATCTATGTACCTATACCAACCGCGTTGTGAGCGGCAGTATCAAAGCTATATGTGTGTGCCGACGCACGTCTGGAGCTGACGAGGGATCTATTTCGGGAAACGACTGCTTCGTCGAACATACATACGTGTGAGTCCATCGAGTCGACACTCCTTTGTCTGATTAAAATCGTATTGGTCGTTACCTATTTTAAAAACGCATCCTCGCGACTTGTGTGCTCGAATGTAAGTGCGTCTTGTTTATAAAAGTATTCCAAAATGGGAAATATGGCCAGTAGTGCCCCAACGAGGGAACAGGACGCAGATAACGTCACAAGTGAAAGTGAAATAATGAACAATACAAGTGATCTCCATATTGATGAAACAACTGAAGCCTTTGAAATGGCCAGTGAAAACTCTATGAACGAAAATGAAGTACGGGCTAGAGCAAAAGAGGAAGAAATGAATGAATTCAGAAAGCAGCTTGATATAAAACGTGAACAAAGAAGACAGATTTTAGCGCGACATCGTACTGAAAAAGAAGAATTAGAGAAAGCCTTGCAAAATGAGAAGGCGGCAAAACTGGAACTATTTGAAAGCAACAGATTGCTCTGTGAACTTCTCTCGAGAAACAATATCGAGATTCCTGATAATCTTATCCATTTGAAGGGGAACTGCGAACTCACAGATGCCTTAGCCAAAATGAGAGAAGACTTTGACGATTTGAAAGTAAATAATTTAAAACTTCGAAAGGATCTGTCAGAAACTAATCGGGCACTACAAGAAGCTTACACTGATATTGCAGACCTGAATCAACAAAATACAGAATCCATTAAACAGATTCGTGCTTTGAAAGAAGTGGTGTCAGTTAGTAAAACAATGATTAGTCTTAGAGAACAACAACTGAATGATGTAAGTGTTGCTAATACCCTTAAATTTTTTATTTAACTTTGCAAAAGACGAAATTTATTATTTTCAAAACCTTCGCCCGTACTACCAGGGCGAACAATTGCCCTATGTACTTATTGTTCATATTGAATTGTTTCAAAAAGTAACAAACATTCATGCATAACTTACAAACATTCGAGCTTATAATATTAGTTGCAGCTATGGGGCAACGCAATCCACATTGCCCCATTAACCTAAGTATTTCAAAATTGAGCTATTGCTACCGCCTAACTTAGCTAATATAAAACATTCATTAGGCTTATTTATTCTAATGAAGCAAGCTCCAGGTCATTGCCTAAGCCAACGACCTGGAGGCAGCATGGTTGCACCCGGTCAGGGACCGCTGACGAACGGCATGCGATCGGAACGCATCATCTGGTACTTGGCGTCTTACGTTTTGACAAACTGCCAACTCCATGTTGTTCTCCTACAGCAGCTGTAATAAACTTTCCGTACATTTTTATATGGCTATCAATTAAGATAAACATAATATGATTGACGCGGGTCATAACGCATATCACATTAATATAAATCTTTGTTCCTAACTACATCATAGGCAACTATAACTATAAGTACTAAAACTACTATATAAAATTGAATTTTTCAGTTAAAAGAAAAACTAAATGAAATAGAACGCACACTAGCGGATCGCGAAACTAATCTGCTGTCAGCCGATTTGAGACAAGAATATGAACGACAACTACAAAATATTCGAACACTCAGAGGGCTTTACGAGGAGCGAGCTCGACTGGCCGAAGTGTCCCGACAACGACTGGTCCGAGAGTTGGATGAACATAAAGTACTTTATCAAGCTGAAGTAAAAAAGTAAGTATTAACTATCAAATGTTCAATATCATCTCCAACAGCTCATTCCGTCGCCATGTCTAATCTTAATTTTAAGCCTTTCGCATTCGATCAGCTAACGGAGTTTGTTATACGTGTCCTTCACCATTGTAACTATATTACTTTCAGGAGCAAAGACCTCAATAATAAAGTGGAAGAACTTGAATCAAAAATAGATTCCCTAATTGAAACTATCGATAACAAGAATTCGCAAATATCTACAAATCAGATAGAAACAAACATCTTGAAGGCCGAGATGGCAGTCGTAAATAAAGTAAGTGTTGAAAGTTTTTGTCATCATCCTTTAAAATATTAAATATTATTTTCTTAATACGTTTTTTTATTATAGCTTTTCTCCCAAGTGCTCCTTGGTGAAAAAACTAAACAAGATTTAGATACACTGGTGCAAAGACTAGAAGAAAACCATGGCATACTAACACAGATGGCTGAAAAAGAAAATGGATCAGAAGCATCATCAGCTTTACCTAAACTTTTGTTAGAGTTAGTTAGTCAAGTGGATGAAAATGAAGAAAAATACATCGGTGAGATTTCAAATGACAACGATCAAACATCCAAAGAGGAAACATCAACAGAAAAAGATTCAGGTAATAATTGATGCAACGTATTTTTATTTTAGAACGTGTTTGTCCTTATCATAATTAAAACCGTATTAATTTCATAGATGAGCAAAAACCGCAAGTAACAACTGCTGAAGAAATAGTAGAAAATCTACCGAAGGTCTGGAAAGTACTGATAGAACTACTCAGTCATCAAAATGCCCCCGAAGGCAACTCTCCCGAAAAAGTTACAACGTGTTATAAATCCGTGGAAACAAAATCGGGACCAGTGTTAGTGCCAAGCGTTAGTCAGACTTACATCAGATTAAAGGTAATTGCTTATCTCATTGCTGCGACCATTATTATTTTTTAGATAAATTGAGTCATGGTCAAAAATCACAAAGTAAAAATAAACATTGTTCATGATCATTATTTTGCAGTACTCAAAAATGCGCAGCTACAGTTTGGTAGAGTGCCAATTTTTTGTTTAATCTCTGAAAACAAAACAATAATTATACTGTTTTTCTCTGAATCAGCAAAAAACACGTACTTAGGTACATTATTTACTGATACAATTTTGTTAAAATTACAGGATCTTATACTAGAAAAATTAGGTCTTATAAAAGAGGTCAACCGTATGAAACAACTCAATGGTCATCTGGAAACTCGTTTAGAAGAACAAGAACGAAGACTATGCATGGTCACAAACGAGTTAAGCAAAACATGGCATGTTGTTGGTCGACTAAGGAGGCATCACCATCAATTACACACCCACGAAAAAATACTAAAATATGAACTACAACAAAAGAGGAAGTTATTGAATGAACTTAAAGAAGAACTTGAATACTGTCGGGAAAAGTGGGAACAAGCTCGTGAAAAGAACACTCAATCTGAAAGAGATTGGAGAACCTTGAGAGCTGAATTCTCGAGTAGAAAAACAAAATCTGGCTCACCGTCGTTTAATAACTCAGGAGAAAGTGGATATAGTGATGAAAGACCATCAGATGAATCTTCCGAATCCAATGATGAAAGCGAATATGTAGCGGAGCCGCTTACTAGATGTAAGAGAAAGCTAAAGAAATCATTTGACTCTAGCACAGATTTTAACATAGCGGAAAGGGAAGACCCTGCCAGTGATATGCTTGATGTTGCTGATTTACCACTTGATACACAAGAAGGTGAAGATAATCATGATTTAACTTCAGAGCCCAGTAAAAGTGAACGATTTCCTAAAAATGCAATTATATGCGAAGAAACAGAAGATGAAATTGGAGACATAACTCACGATGACTCTTGTCCAGAAGAATCACACGCAGATGACAATTTTATTGCTAACTCTAATGCAGAATGTAACGTTCCCGAAAACAATTCACTTATAGGTCCAAGCACCTCTAATGAATCATCAACAATATGTTTACCACTGATTGACCCTGTTGAAATTTTAAAGAATGTTCGTCTTCAAAATGAGAGGCTTGCTAGAAAAGATCAAAAACTGAACAGTCTTGAAGCGGGCAGTGCTGCATTGCTAAAAAAGACACAAACAACGGTTAAAATAAGTGAACAAATAAGTGATACTCTAGATCATCTTATAAATCGGCCGACTACAAGTCAGACATCAAGCGTTTGTGTAAATGAACCTGAAAAATCTACCACCTTACAAGTCTATAATGACACAGGCAATAAAGAAATCTCAACAGATATCCTCACAGAAGCAGTACAACCACATTCAGAGAATGACTTTGAAAACAACATAGGTCAAAACTGTGAAGCAACGGACCAGAATGTAAATGATGAGAAAAGTAAAATAAATAATGAACCAACTGTCGAGTCCACCACGACCGATTCTGCAAATGTTACCTCAGTCAACGACTCAGCTTCAAATGTAGAAACACCAGATTTCAAAGCCATACTAGAAAGTGTTCGAAAACAAAATGAAAGGCTTGCTAAGAAAGATGAAAGACTGCAAAAGTTAGAGAGTAGTTGTTCGGAGGTAGTAAATTCTATAACTGATACGCTTAAAACAGGTGATGAAATAATAAAAAAACTCGAAACTCTTCACAGTGAAAAACCACACGGCAGTAATGAAGATCCGAATGTGTCATCAGGAGATGGTAATTCTAGTTCCGACAAAGAGGATTCTGTGCCTTCGACATCTGGTGAAATTGATCACGAGGCCCGCTTCGCTGCGCGTGATTTACGATTAAAGCGATTGGAAGAACAAACAAAATCACTCGTGAACAAAGTTAACAAAACAAACTCTAAAGGCGTAAAAATACATTACAAATTAGAAGAACTGCATAATATTTACGGTTCAGAAAGTTCTCGGGCTGGCACACCGTCAGAAGATAATGAGGACAGAAGTAATGCTAACGACTCTCAAGAAGAATAAGGTATATTTTTATATATAGTTGGTGTCTTATGTTATTTAAATGTTTTTTTAATTCGAAATAAAAGTCTCAAATAGAGAATAAATGTATATTCTTGACTATTCTCATTGTATTCTTATTTATCACAACAAAAGCACCAATGGGCTTATTAAAATACACATATTTTTGGTACAGATCAAAGATAGAGATTTTCTTAATTCTCTTAAAAAAATAATTCATTCAAATTGTTCATTGATTTTACAACACAAATTCTTGCAGGCTATATCCCGCAGAGGTATAACTAAATTAAATATAAGACTTAAAAATAAATTTACACTGGATGATGGTCATACAGACATAATACAAACACCAACACATTCATGGTTAGCCATTCTCCTAAACATTGTCTAAACAGACATCACAAAAATTCGAAAAATTTGCATATCTACAACTAAGCACTAATTAAAAAATTGAAAGGTGTTTTTCAAAGACAATGGGAACATCTAAAGCTACTGACAAAAGGTGCCATATTCGTAATTTTCATTTTGGAAATACAACATTGTGTACTTATTACTTTATAATATCGATGCATCACTAGTTTCACAATACATTGAAAGACACGTTCAGTTTTCTGGTACATTGTTGTTAAAGGATTTGTTATCGATGCCGTCTTTAATGCTCTTAACTTCAATTGATCGCATATTGTCTTCTAACACTGCAACGACTACTCTGTCTCTCTGCACTTTCTCCATATCCTTACCCGGTGGGGAGCTATAGACGCGCCACGCCCATATCGATATTAGTAGCATCTCTAACATCATTATACTGTTGTTTATAACTGGAAAGGAAGAAAAAACAAAATTATTACACTGTTACTACAGATAACGTGCTAAACGGCGATACATGGTAGACAAATAAAATTTCGACCAGCCACCCTAAGATAGGGAAAACTTCTTCAAAACTTTCGAATACCAAACTGCAATCGCAGTCTTTAGTCAGTTGTGCAGATTAAAGCGGACCCCGCGTAAGAAAAGTTAATAATGATGATGCATAGTAAACATGACATACTAGCTTGTCATCAGATAACTTTGAAGGTCAAAAAGAAATGTCCCAGATGCGATCTCTTCCCCCTATGAAGTTCCTTCCTTTATTGGCTTATGATAACCTATTCGAGTATCAGATTCTTTTAAAAAATTACTAAATTAAACATGTTTTAGCATTTTGGGATTACTTACGAGATGCAAATACGGCGGGATGTAGGTTCATAACGCAGGACAAGTTCGCCATGTTGGGCACCGACTTGGCGAGTCCACATTGCAACTTCACGATGATCAGTACGAGCTGTACGACCAGGAACCTGGGGCGTGGTGCCCGCCCCACGGATATCGCTGCCCGTACGCACATCACTACGCCCCACATGCCCGATAGAATGGACGCCGCGACGAATGGTTGGAAGTATACGAAAATACTTTGATATAACATCTGGAAATAATTAGATTAAGGGAAGTCAATATTTTATCTTTATTTTATTTCAATAGGTCCAGCGACAGAATACGGACTGAGACAATCAGCACAGTAAACACAACATACAATACATTAATCTGAAGTCCAATTATGACTGTACACAGCATTCAATGTTTAACATGCTTCAATAAGTGACAATAAACATGAAGTAACATGAAGAAGCTAACAAATAACACCAATATTATCACAACTTACACAAATAATTTCTAAATTCATTATAAGTGTTTAAAAATAAGTCTACTATATGGCATATTGCGTTATTCACTTCACGCTTCTCTCATTTTCTCCATGAATGGAAAATAATGACTTAGTGCTGACCTCAATTTGGACAGAAAGAAGAAGAAGGACGGACATTTCAACTTTTTTATTGGTAGGTTACCCTTACCAATGTATATGGAATGTAATGAAAATTAATCAAATCGTATTGTAATGAAAGATCTCTAAAGAATGATGTTCAAAGCTAATATGAGTATCTAAATATATGTATGTTGATAAAACATACTTATGTAAAAATACTTACAAAATCTTCCGACCAGATGACGATTAGAATGAAATAAATAATTCCTTGAACAATTGGTATCTGAAGGACCAAACAGCGCAACCACATTAGACTTGCTCTGAAAAAAAAAAATAATTTGAGTTAATAGCTGATTCCTTGGGATTATTTTAATGGAATAATAACACATATTTTAGGTTAAATTTAATGGTATGCAATTAGCCTGGTATTTACCACGCATAGTTATTATGCAATTATACAAATTACTTGAGTACCTAGATATGAATCTATTAAACTTATTTAAGAAATCTACTAGGATCGTGGAACAGTGCTTTTCAAGGGACACGCCCCTCTGTAATACGGGGCTGATAATATAAATGACGGAAACAGGTGTAACATTGTATATGTGCTTTGACTATGCCTACGGAGATGGGCGTATGGTTTTGTTTTTTTTATGGGATATATCGGCTAGCAAGCAGACGGATTACCTGATGGTAAGCAATCGTGCCGCCCATAAACACCCGCAACATTAAAGGAATTTTTATGAGTGCATTGTCGGCCTTTTGGAGATAGCGATTTTGGATATTTATGGTTTGGTAGGCATACGGGGACGGATTGGGCCTCACTCACACTGCGAAACACAACGCTGTCGTTGTTTCGAAGCTTGGCTCTCCCACACTTGTTTAATATAAATGACTTAAGTTGCAATTAAGCTACACAGTATAATGACTGCATACATCGTTGGTGCAAGTAAGTGTGGCGCAACTCTTTGTGTGATCCACAAGCTATTTTCCCAGGTATGGGTGTGATGACTGTGATGTGTAAATAAATCCAAGACATAGGAGAAAATAGTATTACTGGACAACGTTTATAAAAAAGAAAGAATCCTTATTTATTAACTACTAGCTTTTCCCGCGACTCCGTTCGCGTGGAATAGTGACTTCCTGCAGATTTTTGGTATAAAAACCTATGTCCTTTCTCGCATTCCAAACTGTCTGTACCAAATTTCACTGAAATCGGTTTAGCAGTTTAGCAGACAGACAGAGTTAATTTGCATTTATAATATTAGTTTGGATCTACGTGGAACCTTCCTTAATGCATAAACAATATGAAAGCATAAGCTTCTATCGTATTCAAATAATTAGTTAGGTGCTCAGACATGCAAACTTGGTTATTTATTAAGAAATGAATATTTAGACGCACTTCTGTAAATGAAATAAATGAATGCAAACAACAACATAGGTAATTGTCATAACCTTTTCAAGGCAAGAACACTAATTAGTAGTGTTTCGATTAAAGAGCGATTAAATAATTGTTACCTTTTACCTGATATTGCTAGTTGTTCGTTATTCCTCTACAATTACTAAGTATTTAGTCTGAGTAAACAAGTTTATCAAATAAAGTTATTACGCGAATTACATTTAAGTTTTTTTTTCAACTAGTCAAATTCAATACTTTTATCCAAATGTCAATTTTATCCAAACTTTTCTATGAAATTTGTATGAAATACTGAGTTAGTAATTTAACTTATTTCTTAACAAATTAGCTACAAAATATCTTAAACTTAGTGTATCGATCGATCGATGAATAAAAGTATAGTTATTTTTCAATATTTTATTGTATTGAAACGTCGAATTAATTTATTTTTAAAGAAGGAAACTACCCAATTCTTAGCGACGTTAACGCAATAGGTGGTTTATCTGCAAAACCTCATTTTATGTTCGATTTTGAGATAGATCCATGATAGCAAGTTTAAACAATAGTGGTTTTTGGTTGCTATTTTAAGTTGATAATTCTGTACCTATTATTTAATATAAATATGATAATTAAAACAAATAAAAACTTATGCGTGTTAAAAGTACCGCAAGCTAATAATAAGTATTTTAACATAGCTTAGCATAATATTAATAAAGAGTTTATTGGAAAAATATAACACTTCATACAACTTTTAGCATGTCATTTCAATGCAAATATAGGTACTTAGCAGTGCCGGATTAGCCACGTAGCAAGAGTAGCAAATGCTACGGGCCCCGCGGATTGGAGGGCCCCGCGCTCAAATAGGTATTTCGTAATTACACCACTTCAACAGCAAGACATATTAGAAAATGTTTTGTTTACAAAACAACTGCAAGTAATTTGATTTTTTCTTAACGAAATAAACGAAAAAAGACAAATAGTCGGTATTTTGTATGTGTAAGAAAAGGAAAGCGAGTATTTGTCCGCTCGGTTGGTGCCATTGGCGGGCGAACCGAGCCGCCGCGAACTGCGCGCACGCAGTATTTCCGCCTCACCTCTATGTATAATATCTATCACGAAAAACGTTGGTATCAAAATGAACTACAATAAATTGAGAGCGCTAGCTACACACAAGTTATGTGTTGTACTACTTGCACTGCACTAAGCACATGTCGGCAACACTGCAAAACCATTTGGGGAATTCCCTGATATTGCCATCGATCGAGCTATCCGTAACTCGAACAAATAAATTAGGAATTCTATTGACTCTCAAACAATAAGAAATTGATATACACTTTCCTTTGACTCAATATAAAAAAACTACTAAGCACTTTAAATGTGAACTATTTTTGAGAAAAGTTGTCTTGACATTGGTTCAAGTACCGTTTTCGTGATTGACGTGGCGCTGTGTGCAATTCATTCAATTATCTTTTTACCGACTTCAAAAAAAGGAGGGGGTACTATGTTCGACTGATAGTTTTTTTTTTTGTATATTCACCGATTACTCCGCCATTTATAAACCAATTTCCAAAATTCTTGTTTTGTTTGAAAGGTTATACTCCCGAGAGGGTCCCATTTTCATGAGGTCGGGATCTAATGATGGAATCTAGGGAAACCGAGAGAGGAGCTTTCGAAAATTGTAGGGGCGAGTAGTGCTACAACTTGCCGATAGTCGAACTTGACCTGATGATAGAGCCGGAAGACAGTTGAAGGATCTCTTTGATTATTTGGAGTAGTTATCTTGTGTTTGGGCTTGAATTATTCTTATTGGTGAGCACTTTGTACCAAGATTGGTCGTGACTGCCATTAGGGGTCTGATGATGAGAACGAAGGACAGCTTAAGGAACTCTTGAACGGTTCACAGTAACTACCTCGTGTTTGGACTTAATTCATTTATATCGATGAAAACTTCGCACCTATATGGGTTACAATGGAGTTATGGAGTAAATCTGATGATGGAGCAGGAAGACTGTCGTAAGATCTCTTTGAGTATTTTTTTTTTTTTTTTAAAAAAAAAACGTTGCCCCACACTAGGATTTTCTCCTGTGTCGTGGGTGCGTTTACAAACATACAATGTCACATACACATGACACCCAGACCCGAAACAACAATTTGTGGATCACACGAAGTGTTGTTCCGTGCGGGAATCGAACCCGCGACACGTCGCACGGCAGCCAGTTGCCTAGCCACCGCGCCAACCGTGCAGTCAAAAATTTGGAGTAATTATGTTGTGCTTGGATTTAATTCATTTATATTGATGAGAACTTTGCACCTATACGGATTACGTAAGTATATTGAAGGTCTGCAGTATAAATGATGATGGAGAACATTGACAGTCGAGGGAATTCCTCAGCGATTTACAGCACTGAACAGTGACTAACTCAGGACTACTACTATTATCGTGATTTTCGGTCTCAAGTAGTCGTCGTCTTCTCATTCGAAAACCATTATCCTTGCTTGCTCTGCCAAGTGAATCATCCAAGTCATACCAACCAGCAAAAGTATTAGAAAAATATTGATCGGTACTTCCTAATCATCAAACTAAAAATAATTTTTGTTTTGCTTGGCACCGAATTCAAAATTATAATATGGTTAATATTATTTTCTATTTAACTAAGTGAAAACATGTATTAATTTCTGCAAAGAAAAAATATTTTTTGCTTTTTAGCTTACTTTTTGAGGTCGGAATATTTTTGTTAAAAATTATTTATTTCACAATCGTCTGATCAAGTCCTTAAGACGGGATACGCCCTTTATGAATAATTATATGGCTACGTCCAAGCAATGCGATCCTTATTTTCAGATATTAGAGGCAACAGCCAAAGATTTGACTAACTGTGAAGAATACCAGCAACAGACATCACGACGAATCAAGCGAAATACAAAGTACGACCTTTTCAGCGGCTCTAATACACTCGACGACTATGTTGAAAATCAAACACCTGGACAACGTTTCGAATTTGAGGTGTTTGTTGTCATAATTGATAACGTACTGTCTGATATAACAAAACGTATAAAAGCATATCATAAAATTACTAGTGTTTTTGAAGTATTTCGACTGATAAAATCTCTTGCAACAGAAGAGATTTTGAAAAAATCGTCAAGGATGTTCAGTGCTTACGAAGATGATTTGGAGAACGGCGAATTAGTGCAGTTTGTAGAGTTGCTGAAAACAGATGTGGCTACTGTAATTGACAGCAAGAAACAGGAGCCTCTGGAACTGCAATTTTATAAACTTTTATTAAATAATTCTTTAGAATCGTGTTTCCCAAATTTAGAAATTGCCTTGCGTATTTACTTATCTCTCATGATCACTAACTGCAGTGGCGAACGTTCTTTTTAAACGTTGAAACGAATTAAAAATGAATTAAGGAACACTATGGACCAAGAACGTCTTAATCATCTCACCTTGTTGAATATAGACAATGACTTGCTTAAAAAAGTCGATATTGAAAGTGTAATAGCTAAATTTGTAACAGTTTTGTTTTATTTAATACCCTTTTGAGAACCGTTAGCAAACCAAGGGCCCCTTGACAGAATTTGCTACAGGCCCCGCGCTGGCTTAATCCGGCACTGGTACTTAGGTTTATTTTCTATCATATAAACATTATTATGATTAATACGTAAACAGATTTATTAATGCAATCTATTCCATAAATTGGCAATAATAAAAAAAACATCAATTGATTTATAATTCTAGAACGCAGTTAACTTATGTTGCTGGCTTGATAATTGCTCATTAATATCTTGGTATCTAGGTATACAGGTACCTATATATTCATTGAATGAATAACGACCTAAGTTGTAACAATAAACAGGTTCAAGTAAGTAAGTATGAACTAGTACTGGAATAAGTCTGTACATATTCGGTTCAAAGCGGTTCTTTATAGTTATGAATATAAATGTATTGTTTTAGTTGCTTGCTCTAAGTCTAAAGCGACATTTGTTTTTTTAATTATTTGAACATAGAATTTATATAAAACCATTTTTTTTAGATTTTCATTTTGCATATGCGAGCGCCATGGCCATGTTCGAGGATTTACAATTATTGAATGATGAGGAATTGATACCATCGTTTGTGCTTTCTTTTTTGTAATGGCTCTCTTTTTGTGAATGTGTGAATATATTATATCGATTGAGTACATGATTTTTTTAGACCTTCACTTTTATTTTTACTTTATTTATTGTAAGAAGAACAGAAGCAGAGTAAGCATCAATCTTCTTGTAAACATGTACCTAACACTCTCTTCGTTATGTCTACAACAAAGTTCATACCTTATTTAGTTTTGACGTTCAAACGTGCCTGTAAGGATCTTATTGAAATAAATGATTTTGACTTGGGAGGCGAATCCAACGACAACTGATAATATTAAGCAAGCTGTATCATTATTAAAAAAAATCTACATATATACGAGTACCTAAGTATGTCTTGCACCCATTTTTGTTACTTTGTTACATGATAAGCATGAAATACGTGCAGTTTTGCTCATCCTCCTCGATGATTAGGTACATTCGTGTTAGGTATCTAGAGTTTCTTTGCAAAAAAAAACTTATCAATAATTCATTAAGTCATTAGAAGTCTGAATCATGAACGTTGAACTTACTTATGCAACTTCGGCCTTGGTATAACGCAACACGGCCAACAGCAGCATGGCATCACCCTCGTCTCTAGGTCGGCGCCACCAGCGCTTCTGTAAACATTCAACAATCGACAATCAATGTCCTGTGTTCCAAAAAAATATAAATAAAAAAAGTATTTGCTCATAATAATCGATGCAATTTAAACTGGCATTCTAAACGTATTGTCAGGTTTTGCACATTAACAGTCTACACGCGGTTTCGCTTGTAAAATTTCACGAATGAAAGTGTGGACAGAATGATCTTCCTAGCTAAAGGTTAGATATAACGGTCGGTACAATAATGACTAAAGATATTAAAAAAATACATCGATATACGGGATATGTGAAGTGTGTGCAAAATAGTTTGACCTATATTAGGTAGGTAGTTAAATAAATATACCTACATAAAAATAAGATACAAATACGTTTTGTTCGTTATCTGACAAAATACTTAGTTGTATAAAACCTAGATACTAATTGGAATAAAACCTCTTCGCCATATTTACGCCTACAATGATTAACCTTCGTGACTATTAATCATATTTAACTTCAATTAAAGCCGATGTTCAATTATTTTAGTAGCCGCAGTGCTTTTTACCTTAGCTTTGCAAATCGTGACACAAATTATATAGGTTCTCTATTTGTCTATATTTACATTATTGCACGTTTAACTAACTCGTGATAAACATTATATGAACTCGACTAGGCAAATATACTCAGAATGCTAATTTGTTTATTTCATAGGTAGGTAATTATTGTGTTTTTCTTTGTAAACAGGAACCTTATCTTAACGTAGCTAAGCATATTTTGCAATAGCATCAGTAGCGCAAAAAACAATATTTCTGTACCGAAAATGTTTTTTTTTTTTAATTTCCTGTTCTAAAATTTCTACATCAAAAATCCTAACAAACCGTCGCTTTACACTACGGAAAAACACTGTTGTAAAAATTAATAATACATAATTATGTATTTCAAAACCTGCGACAAGACGCGATTCTATCTGTGAGAGGTAAGCAATTCCGTTTCAACATGGTCCTCAGCGCGTAGTAGTAAACACATCTACACACAAGACTTGATGTAGCGGGTTACCTAACCGTACCGCAATAGGAAAATATTCGCTATTCTGTAGTACGCGTGCATTAATGCATACGTAATTCTTAATTTGCTGTGGTAACGTGGAACGTAAAGCCGAATGAATGACTTGTCGAGCTGACGTAGTTTTAGAAGACCAGCGGGCCTACTAAAGAGGGATGGAGCTATACACCTTTTATAGCTCCATCCCTCTTTCTCGCCCGGAAGATTGACGCTTCAGCACGTCACGGTAGGCCCGCAGTAGCTATTCGATTTTTAAATTTTAAATTTCATACGTGTCATCCTTCTCCGTCTACATAGATCTACAAAAATTCATGTTATAGGTAGGGAAACGAAGGAACGAGGAATTCAATCTTCGTTTTATTGCTCGGGGCTTGTAATGTGCGTGAGCAAGAAGTCATTGCTTTAACTACAGCCTATATTTGACCCTTCCGGGAAGCAGGCATGATGTCAGACATTTATATTATAGTAACTTTATGTTATATGTAGGTAGAGTTATGTATTAATTATTTAAGTTTATTGTAAATATTTAATAGGTATTTATTATGTCAAAGAATAATGTTCTAACTATAGCTTCCCATCCTTTATCAGTAAAGAGACAGTAAATAGTGTTTTGTGGTGTGCAAACAAGATAAACACAGAATGCTTTATTAGTAAAGTAAGGTTCATATAGACTCGTTATCTCTTTGCGTAAATCGTACCTAAGTAATAGATAATCGTAAAAGAGAAATCGAAAGCCAGTATCTCAACGAGTCTACGTTCGCAGAGTCCGTACGTGCCATAGCTAGGCCTAAGTACTGCCAATCATTTCTATAATTGTTAGGAATTTCTACGTATTGTTATAACACTAAAAACTATTCATTTTCTACTCAACGGCTAGTGAGTATTATATAATCCAAAATTAATATTAATTTTGTTTAAAATATTATTCACGCTCTAATTCCATTACTTAAATTTGAATAAATATTGCTATTTCTTCATGAAGGTCGAATGTTAAATGCCAACGAAGTCCCAATACAGTCCAGGTGAAACCGCGAGGCGCAACTGGTAACGTTCAAGAGTAGGTATCTAGATCGAATTTTAAAGAATAGCGACCCACCCCGGTTTTTAGCGCGGGTGCAATGCAGATACGAAATTTCTCTACTATTTAATTGATGTTATTATACATATGAACCTTCTTCTTCAATCTATCACGCTATCTATAAAACAAAACCGTATTAAAATCCGTTGAGTAGTTTTAAAGATTTAAGCATACATAGGAATATAATGACAGGAAAATCGACTTTATTTAGGTATATGTTATAAGTAGTATGTAGTGATTAGTTTTTACTTGATAAACTATTAGTAGGTACTCGTAGTATGCATAATGGCTTTTCAATGATATGATATCTTAAAACATTTCAAATTTAATACGTCATGAAAGTTGAATTTTATAATCAAGAAATAGAGCTACCAATGTGACCAGCTTCTACTACGCTTATTCAATTCTTCACCTTTACAAATTGTTGTGTAAAATCGTAAATGATTCGCGAATATTGCAACATTGGTAAAACGTTGAAATTCTCGTAAAAAGAACGGATATACTTTGCAAAGTGTTTTACATAGCTTTTGTCATAATTCACACATGCTGTGTTGGTTGACTGCCTCAAAAAGAGGTCTATATTAAAATAATCATACGTCGTAGGACTGTATTTGTTTAAAGTATATTCTTTAGTCGTGCTTAATTATTAGGTATTTTTTATGTTCCTGTGTCACAGTTTATACAATCGTGTAAAAAATACCTATTATAATTTTTTTATTAGATAAGTACTGGATTTTTCTATGAAATCATCTGACCCAATCAAAAACCATTACTGGCCGTTAATTAATAGAGTTTTTAGCGCGGGGCGCTTCGATTTCCTTCCACGTACAGACACGACGATGGCTATTTTTTAACTATTTAATTCTTATATTTAATTGAAGCATGAACAACTACTTGAAATAGCTAAACTTATTTCCAAATGCCAAAGTTATTATTGTTAAGAATGTAATTACTTCCTTATTTGGTGCAAAAAATACAAAAGTATTTGATTGAGTAGCGAGTACGGAGTTACGCACCTGACCAACTGTTCTGTGCCACCGCATTCTGCTATGACCAAGCAGAAGAAGTGGTAGAGAGCTACCATGACAGATTCTTGGGCTACGGCTTCAGCTGGCAGTCGAGATCTGGGCACAACTATCATTACGAGAGCGCTCGCTGCCACGATCTGTAAAAAGAAAGTATTTCATTGTGTAAATAGATGAGGATGAGTAAATCGTGTTCCGCTACAATAACACCACGTTTGCATGTTTGGTTGAATGGATCTTTAGTATTTAGTCACGCATTAACCAATGACCGAATTACTTATGCACCTGTGTATGAAAATTCGCACGCAGTCATCGCCATGACATACTCGTACGTAGACGGATTAAAAAAGATTTTTTCTATGTTAGAGGTCGGCAAACGAGCACACGGGTCACCTGATGGCGAGGAATCGGCGCCACTCATAAACAATTGAACACCCGCGAATATCAAAAGAGTTACGAGTGTATTGCCGGCCTCTTAGGCGTAGGAATTAGGAGATTTAGGGATAAGGAAGGATTGGAAATCGGGTAGGATTGGCCTCCGGTAACCTAACTCACACGGTGGAACACAACGCTGTGATTGTTTTATGTGAGGCCGTGATATCAATATGGTCGAGCCGACCCATTCGTATCTACTGAAGCATTGCTCTTTCACATACACACACACACTCACAGACAATTTCGGTAACTCTAACAAATCTTACAGATGAAAATTAGATAAAAAATATTACATTACGTAGACAATACTGCACCAATACCTGGTTTAATTAAATTCTCTTAAAAATTTACTCTAAAAGGACGAACAAATTTTCTTGTCATTAACATACGTCATACATAACATGTGTAAAGTTTTTTATTTCTACAGTTATTAGTAGATACTTAGTTAAGACTATGTTTTATTTTGCAAAATATTAAAACTATTATGACGAAAATTTATATTTAGATATTTTTTTAACAAAATAATTATAACTTTTAAATTGTAATGCGAAAAGTATTTACGTCAATGGTGTGAGAAACAACAACCATTTTAATAGGTTAAATTAATTGAATGTACAGCATTGTTATTTTAATTTATTTTATACCTAACTGTTAGCTATATTGTAGGTAACTCTTTACTGGTTCCTGCTTAGTTTGAGGTCGATTATTTTAATATTAATTGCAATGCAACATTTTATAAGACATTCTAGGAAAAAATATTCTAATAATAACAGAAAAGTAACTACATAAAGTGCTTTTCTAGATTCGTTTATTTTATTTTAATTAATAGAAACACACCACATCCCGATCCAGAACAACAATTTGCGTGGATCACACAAAGGGTTATTGGCACCACTTATTGAACACCAATTTCAGGGCTACTATAAAACTATACTAAAATGTATACATTATAATCCAAACCATATTATAATATGTATTATTTATATTAATTTTGTAAATGCGAAAGTAACTCTGTCTGTCTGTCTGTCTGTCTGTCTTTTCTTCACGCCTTAAATACTGAACCGACTTCTGTGAAATTTGGTACAGATATAGTTTGGGACTCGGTAAAGAACATAGGATAGTTTTTATACCAAAAATCTGCAGGAAGTCTCTATAGCACGCGAACGGAGTCGCGGGCAAAAGCTAGTATCACTATAAATTTAGTGTCACTTCTAACGTGAACCGAATTGTTTTATTCTTCTTTCAATTGTTGCGTGAAAATCCTGATACACATAACACATCTAGTTACCAGATTTTAACAGTAAGTATACCGAGTTCTTATTATAGTTTTGGAAAAAAGTGACTGTGTCATTCCGATTACGTTTTTTGCCTACGAAACCCTAAACATATTGCAAAATATTCTCGTTGCTTCTTTCATTTAAAAACAATGATTATATCATTGTTCATTACTACCTAAGTACGGACTACGTATAATTATAATTACTTACTCGATGAAGTCTTTCCCACCGTAAGAAACTGCTACTGTATTAAAATCGGTCAAGTACAAGTAACGAAGTATCACAAATCGTTACATTCACAGTCATAATTAAACATGATTATCGAAAATTTAATCAATCGCATACAAATAATTAGAAACTAAACGAAAAGAAACTAAATCTGCTTATGTCCGAAACTTCTCGCGTTTAAGAGTCCCGTTTTTTGACGAAAAAAAATTATTGTAAGTATTAAAACAAAGTCTTTAAAACTAAATTATTAAGTCATAAATATTGTCTAATTGTTGTCTTTAATTTTATAAAAAAGAAACTTCAGTAGAAAAAGATCTGATGACCTTCTCTATTAATTAGTCAACCTTAGGGTGATGCAGTGACATCGTTGATAGCATCTAGATATAGACAAAATCTATCTATAAATAACTAGTTTCCGCCCGCGGCTTCGCACGCGTGTGAAGTAGGTTATGTATCCCGGGATTTTAAAAACCGTTGCAGTAAAAGCGATAGCTCGACTAAAATACGCAAATCAAGTATAATTTATGGCCTATTAGCAATAGTTACATTGTTGCTGTATATCAGTGAAAGAATTATGGACATCTAACCTGAGCAGTTCAAAAGATTACCCCCTATATACAAACTTACAAATGAAACCTCATTACAATATATATGGTATTCTAAATAAATGAATTCTTAAGTTAAGTTTTTATAATTTTCAAAATAATTATTATTACATTGAAGTCTCTCTGAAACTTATTATCTTTTTGGGGAGCAATTAGTATGACTTCATATAATACGTCGTATGACATAAGTACCTAGTTTAACTAGAAAATAAAATAACAATCGTTGTATAACAACGAATGCATAATACCTAGGCACTACAATACTTTAACAAATACTTAATTGTAATAGTTACAATGTTTCTCACGTATAAAAAAATGTATTTTACATATAATTAAAATCAAAATAATCGTAAAATGACAAGCATCATGGCAGTAAAATAAGAATTACTTAATATAACAGTATTGGCGCATTGTTTATAAATCTATTTCGGTTATAAATTCATTTTCAATTTTACTCGCGTAATGTTCATAGCGGTTTCACCCGCTGCTTGACTCCATTTAATCGTAGCGTGATGTTTTATAGCCTATAGCACTCAGGAACATTGTTGCTATCTATCAGTGAAAGAATTTTGGCAATTCGACCAGCGGTTCCAAAGATTACCCCCTACATACAAACTTATAAATTTTACCTCTTTATAATATTAGTATAGACTAAACTAAACCAATGTCCTGAATATAATTCATTGTTCAGAAAAATTTTAATTTATTGCTAGGTACCGACGCATGCGCTGATTGATTACGCTACCCTGCATCATCAACGATGATACAGGTAAATTTATTGAATTTTCAAGTTTATGACTTTGTGATAAAGACGAAAACCAATTGATAATGATAATCAACAAATCAATGTGCTTCGATATGTTGTACTTTATAAATGCTTAATAAAGGTTGCACCTTACAAGGACTACAGATCTTAACCCGAATCGTCAGATAATTGTTTTAAAATTAACACAAAACGAACACGAAACAAACACGAATGAACTCGTCCGCTTTAAGCATGTAAATTTTTATACTTCAGTACTTTGAACGTTACCTACCTACTTGTAAAATTTATCTGGGCTGCATGTTTTCTTCTACAGAGTTCAATAGGAACAATAAAATTCTTTTTTTGTGGGGAAAAGAGGAGAGAATCGTCATATGACTTCTCTCGGCCAAGGTAAGCGAGAGTGTGTCAGACTCTCACTGACACCACCACCCCGTTCCATCTCCAGCTCTAGGCCGAGGCCGAAGAACAAAAGAGTCACTACATCAGTTTTCGTCAAATTAAACCAAAAAACAGTCTTACCGTTTTAACGATTCTAATTTCGGTAAGATTGTTTCCACGCACACAGTTACAGTTACAGTTTCTATCCATTACTAAGGTGTAGGAATACCTATTCCGAGCCAGAACTTAATGGTGTACTACCTGAAAGGATATCCAAGTGGGCAGAGGTGTAGTTCCATTCGCTGGTTATACGGAACACAAGATTTTTTGCTTAAAATTCGTGCTTGCTTCAACCAACTAGGCAATCATCTTTTGATTGTTAAGAGTATAATTTGGCGTTTCCATCAATATTTTAAGTGCTGAAGCATCATCACTGATTATGTAGGTGCATTGCGTATTAACCAAACTACCTTTGGCCCAGATTTAAACAATGAACACTTTGTAACACAATACCTTTAAAAGGCAACATCGATGTTATTTTGCTGTTCCCTACAGGGTCCATAATTGATCCCAGAGAAATTGTTTCCACCTTTATATGTACTTACGGTAAAGCAACAAAGATATTGAGTATAAGTTCCCTGGTACATATTATCTCTATATATAAATACATTAATATCTGAGTACTAGATATACAGACTTGCATGCTTCGATGTAGTAACTGAAGGTGGTCTCCGTAGACCCCACTGAGTTATTTTTTAGAATACCCTATTATTTAGCATACCAACTACCTTGGCTACATAATAATATAGCGAACATAATAACCAGGGTTTATACAAGACAGTCAATGCAAAGCTATCTTTAAAAAGGTCTTGATTTTAAACAATTTTAAACATGATGACGGCTATCAGAGATCGGTATTCGTCGCCAAATGATTACGAAACTGCGCCTACGCAACAATGACCCACAGCGGGCGGCGGACGGTGTCGCGAACCAATTGTACCCTACTTACATACCACAAGGATCTATTAACATGGTTTAGTATAGATTTAGCAGAATATAATATATACTTAAATAACTACTTGTAACACAACTATGACTTCGGACAATAATTTATGTTGGGATCATTAGGATGATGTGGAATATGTGTTCAATTTTTTCACGCTGTTTGATAATTCTCTTGTGTAAACGGTAGCTTACGTCCTCCAGACTAAGCTAAAATTTTTCATATCAATACTGTTGTGAGATTTTTTTTCCAAGAATTTCTTTAGGATTTTGTTTTTTCTGTGAACGGGTTTCTCAGATAGCTTCTAAGAATAACTTAACTTCCTAAGCTATTTATTATTTTTTCTGTTTCTGTTATTTATTTATTTCTAATTAGTAATTATTTTATTTATAGGTGTATTTATTTACAGCTTTTGTATTACTTTTAATAAGTGAATATAACAATACTGATACATGGTAAAAAATCTTATTGTTTAATACTTTTTGTTCAAACAAGGAAATAAGTTGTCGTTTTATGTAACCATGAGAAGTGATCACGTTTTACCTTTATCTATAATAATGAAGCAACGGCCTGACAATTTAGCACTACGACCTTATCTTAGGTAGAACATAGATCTTGGAACTAGGCCTGGATCATAGCAATGAACAAGTTACCCCCCATCATAACAGCACATGTATCAATCACCAATCTGTGGCTATTTATAGAATTAGCAGGCGTTATAATACTCAATGTCCAGCTAACAAAATCAGAAGCAAACAGGAAAAACAATTATTCATTTAATAAATAAATCATTCCTGTTTTTTTCAGCTTTTTCGTATACATTTCCGACTGGTTGATGACAGAGTAATTGAAAATCTAGAAAAACAATTAATTGCATAAAGTCGGTTGCAATAAGTATAATTATTATTTCACTTTGTCTTGATAAAATATATACTTATTAATACAGTTTGCCCTAGAAGGGGCGAAAAGGGGAGGCAAACTCTTACTGACTAAAAATCACCTTGTTCCTTCTCCTGCTCTAGGGTCTATTGCGCTTGACCCACAACCTCGGCTGAACATCAGCTCTTTTGGACTCCATATAGGTGAGTTATCAGACAGAATTGACTGCTTTAGATCTTCTGCTACCCGGGTAGGTATGTAAGATCTATATTCTAGTCTAGTATAATTTTCGGTATAATAATCTCTACATCACCTTTTTGGATTATTAATTCGTTATAAAATTACCAGTCGTCACATTTTTCGTTTCTTGTCATAATGCCCACGTAAAAGTAATTCAACCTTGTAAGTATATTTTGAATCTGGTTTTAAATTACAAGTTCAAAACTTTTGCGGTCAAGTACTTACTTAGGTTAACGTATAAAATTATTGTTGCAAGGTTGAGAATTACGTAAAATAAAGGATACGGTACCTATTTATAGCTGTTTTATTGAAACAATAAATATATTAGTACTTAGAATATGACTTGACATAGTACCTAATGGTACCTACAGTTATGTTTGTTTGAGTTCAGTTTGACTATTAAATTGAACGTTGGAAAAACCCTACAAGAGTATAATCGATTAATGAATTTTCCAGAAGGCTTTATAGTCTATAGTATTACCACAAAATCGACAGTCATCGTATCAATAATACAGTATGAAGAACATAGCACAACACATCTCGGTTTAAAGATAGAACTGAAAATGTCTGATCATATATCCAAATACAACAGAATAGTTTACCATCATAGTATTAAAAATAAGATGATACTTACACAAATAAAGTGAAAGTGATATTTATATGTTGATATAACGCTATTGAAAGTCTCCTAGTTCAATTAAAAACAAATATAATTCTATAGAAAAAACAAAAACCTAACTATAAAAATAGATAGATAAATGTTTATAGCTAGTTTGTATCACACCCTTCTTCAAACCTTTCACACTAAAAGCCGATAAATTGACATGTTTGCTCAGCAAACTCTGTCAAAGAACAGTTTACTTAGGGTTCGATAGAAACGTTAGGTATCAGTTTTATGATTGCTAACCAATAATTAATTACGGAAAGTGGTTGGTAAATTGATACTGCCTAAATAGTACTCGCTTAGCACTTCATTGGGGTAATAAAGAAAAGTGCCAGTTACCTATATCGATTGAGACATTCTCAATTTATGTGTTTGAAGTAAAATATATCGAGACGCCGGAAGTAATCGTATTTCTAAGAAAATTCTATGGCCATTGGACTAGACATTAAGATTCTACAGACTGTGCGTATAGGAGACTAGCTACTCTCGCGCGGTTTCACCCACTGCTCGGCTCCATTTGATCGTAGCGCGATGTTTTATAGCCTGTAGCACTCAGGAACATTGTAGCTATCTATCAGTGAAAGAATTTTGGAAATCTGACTGGCGGTTCCAAAGATTACCCACTACATACAAACTTACAAATTTTACCTCTTTATAATATGAGTATAGATATCTTAAAGTTTCAAAGGCAAGCAAAACATCAGCGTTTGTTCCTTCTGTCTGATTTGATTTACTTGGTAATAAATTTGGTAGACGGAATCAACCTATTTCAACGAACTACTTAAAACTGTCACGGTTGAACAAGCACTCAGAAAACGCGTCACAGGTTAGTTCAAACTCATTATAGGCATAAAAACACACTTTTAAATTAGATAAAAAAATGGTAACGATGACTTGTGACTATTTTTGGTATCACTATAAGGAAATGGTTGTCAGACTTTATTTAAGCGCCCGATAGTAATTTATAGTGAGTAGACTTTTCGAGTCCAAAATATTTAACATTAAACTCCCCTGCATAGCGAAAATGTTGACCCACTTCAGCATGGTTCTCTTTAACTCGACAATTGATAGGTTCCAAATTGAATATTATTACACCTTTGCCGATCCCTTCAAAATAATTACATAATAAAGTCCGAACGACCCTTGATGTTGTTATAATAGTAGTGTCCAAGGTCATGGTGTCACCCTCTAGAGATTGCTTTCCCCCCAAACAATACAACCTCGACCAAGGGTGGTAGAGTTTGTTGTTCCGTATGTTGCCATTCGTGCGGAAACCATTCGCCTGACTCATAAAAACTAATCAAATTTGCGTGCCCTAAGGAAATGTCACCAATTAAACACACGGTACATGACATTGGAGAGAAATGGACCTCTCTAATTTATATGGTACAAGCTTTTAATGAATCCGATTCTATGAAAAATTACTTATTTATTAATTACGTAAAGCAATTTGCTAAGGTTTGCGCACTTTTATTTTATTATGACCAACCAACTGAAATGGATAACAAGAGTATAGAGAGTAGAGTATGCAACAACAATATGTTGCCACTTTTGCAATTACGTCTTCATAAAAACCTTTGCTTCAGTTATCTGGAAATCCTCGACAATCATTCCACAACCTCCTTATACGTAACATGTAAAATTCCTCTTAAGTCACGAAATAATTACGTAAATAATTTATTTTTTTACTTAACGAGTGTATCGGAAATAGATTAGGTACAGAGTTAGTGATCAAGCTGAGTACACACGATAAAACTTTAATTTCTTCTTTACTACCATAGGTTTGTAGACCATTTGGATGACTTATATTCAACAGAGGACGATTGTAAGTGTAGCTGATATTTTTCTACAGAGCAGTAGTTGTTATGATGATGATGAATTTCTTCTACATATGTCAACAATAATATACGGTTTGACTGCATGGTTGGCGCAGGGGCTGGGCACTGGCTGCCGTGCAACGTGTTGCGGGCTCGATCCCCGCACGGAACAACTCTTTGTGTGACACAAATGGTTCTTCAGGGTCTGGATGTGGTGTGTTTGTTAAAATGTATGTTTGTAAACGCCCCCAAGACACAGGAGAAAATCCGAGTGTGGGGCAACGCTTTTTTTTATATGCAAGATAATGTTGTACTCACGGGATAAATACTTAAGACGACGGCTACATGGTGCATTTGGTCTCGCCAGTGCTTAACCGCTGACCGCAAGGTGATCACGTACAAAGCACATATGACGAGCAACACCGCAAGACCGCAGGCAAATATAACCCAAGCGTATGTCTGGAGAGCTGTGGAAGAAAAAATAATATTATTAAGGTTATTAATGAATATCAGAATGTGATCACTTTTTGTTTTAAGCAAGTACAACATAATGTTTTGTAATTCTCAAAATCAGCCAAAATCTGCGTATATGCATTCGAATGCTTGCACTTTGTATTATCTAAAACTGCATTTCTTTAACAGCATTTTAGTTATTAATACGAAGTTTTCAATAGTGGTATGAGTAGGTATAGCTCATACGTACACCTCGATCCGTCTAAGTTTTTATAGACTAATCGACAAAATGTTGTTTCCACACACAGCTACAGCTTCAACCAGCCTTCCTCATTGAATTTGTATGAGATATGTAGTTGCTCGACTATTTTCAAATTACGATGGGGGTCCATTAATGGTTTGAGCAAGGAATGTGTATGTATCTTCGCATCTCTTCTGACAATCACGTAAGAAAGCGGTTTTAAGCAATACTTAAAAGAATCTCAAGATAGTTATTGCATCAAATGGTTATTCATGGAAAAATCAGAAATATTTCTTCCTTACGAAGTGGAAATAAACGAAGACCCTGCATTAAGTGCTTGGATAAGATAGTACCTAGGCATTGTCCTTTTCGAATTTATTGTAACTAGTCACGCAATCTACTAGGTACGCATTGACCAAGAAAACACCCCAACGGATTGCATAACTACTATTCTTTGTGTTTAAACTGCGAATATTATGATCAATAAATGATAAGCATGTATAACTTCGGTATTTGGAACGTACCTACATACATTATTATGTAAATTACTAAATTGTATACTTAACTACGTAAGCTTTTGGTATTTTTGCCCTTCAATAAACATATCACCTGATGTTTGAACTAATAAAATCGATAATTGTGTTTATTGAGAAAACGGTTTTTGAATTCACAAGTATCTAGTTACTAAGCTATTTCGTACACATGTAGGTACGGTTAATAGAAACGAATAAAGAGCTATGAGAGTTTATTTAAATAAGTACTATCAATTCGCATTATTCATTAGATTCAATCAACAAAGCAAATAACTTGATAAACAGCTAATGTAGGTACTTAATGTATCGAAATAAAGGTGCACAAAATGAGACTTATTAAAATACTTTTATAGGATAGGGCGGCAAACGAGCTCACTTGAACACCTTATGGGAAGAAATTGATTCCCCTGCCTGAATTACGATTCCATCCCGTGATATACATATAACTCCAGAGCAGTTACTAGTTCCTTATTAACCTTTTGCGGGACGGAATGATTGGAGCTAGGTACAGTATCTCACACAGCGAAATACAAAAAAAAAGTGTATAACATAGACTCTCTAGGGTTATGCCGTTAATGGCTTTGCAACATGGGGGCTCCTGAGCAAATCTATAAAAGGTTCTGGTGTCCTCAATGACGATAGTGGTGTTGAGGTTGATGAGAGGGCCACGAGATAAAAACTCCATTCTCCCTAGTCTTTCACCGTAAAAAAATATTAATGGAGATGGACACCTGATTTGAAAAAAATATGGAATAGTAGGCAAACGAGCTGACGGATCACCTGATGCTAATTGATCAGCGGCGCCTATGGACACCTGCAACACCAAAGGAGAAGAAGGCGCGTTGCCTGAAAAATAATTTAATTTTGCCATTTGGACTGTTTCGCTATAATTGTCATAGTTCTTTAATATTCTGAAACAATACAGAAGTCTAATGAACCCATCTTATCTATTGTTTCTATTAAGAACCTGTTTATATGCCTAACCTTGTAGGAGTACATTTTTGAAACTGAGTATCCTTAATTCCGACGTAAAATTATGAACTCCTTTCTTGAACTTAAGTTTATTTTATATTTCTGGTCAGACCCTAGAATAAGTATCAGATAGGTATACTAGGTACTGGTTGTATTTTTATGTATGAATAAGACCAGTTCCAGTAACCGCTTAGCCGCCTAGTAAATGAAGTTGGTAAAAAAAGTAACAAAAGCTTAAAGTTGTGCAAAGAAATAAGCCATATAAAATTGAACCACGTTCGTGAGGTTTATTTTTCTCATGTAGGTAAGTACATACCGAGTACCTGGTTCATGCCAACTAAATAATTTTTCAACGTTGACATTGAAAATATCAAGACCAGTAACTCAGAATACAGAACAAACCAGAATCCGCATTATTGCATTTTGTCAAATGTGTCCAAAAACAATACGTCAGTCCCCCCGCTAGCCGCACTTCCCACCCGCGTAGTGTTGCCGATAGGGAACAATTCCCTTGGTTTGGGCTAAAGGGGGGTAAGATATATTTTTTGGGAAAACCCAAAAAAAATATAGGAAAACTTACGATAATTGCAACACACTAATTGTTTACACATTTCATGCAGGTATCATAAAAGTTGACGATTTCTGGCTGTGTTAATTTTAATTACACCGACTATACACAACGTGTATAGTAAATGTGTTTTTTATCCATTTTAAAACTAATATGACAAAGGTTCCACAATGGACAACAATATAACTCACAACAAATAAATAAGTGGGTAAAATTTACACCAAAAATGACAACACTCACAAAATGGCCGCATCATTGTCATAGAAAAATAAATCGGTAAAAGAAAATCAATAATTAATTAAATATACTATTGCAGTCGACGCTTACAGATGAAATGTAATCTTATCCACTTTTTTCGTAATTCCAGCTCCATTTTTACTCGTAGGAATAACACAAGACTGCATAATGAAATTAAAATTGTAGTGGCTTTAATATGAAGCGCGTTGACGCCTTCTGGTTTGTTCTGTATTCTGAGACCAGTAAGTACCCCTCTACATAGACCAATGTTTTCAAATCTAGGTAGATCTATGTATCTACCTAGATTTGAAAACATTGGTGAATATGACTAAGGCGAATATTGTATACCTACTATAAATTGAAGAAAGAAAAACATTTGACGATCGATTAATATATGATTTTTTATATTCTATATTGTCTATTAGTCTGAAAATATTTAATGGACTTGTTAAACCTGATTCTATCTCCCTCAGTCTTTTGCAGGATTGTAAAATGAACAAAATAAGTAACACAAATGCAAACGCAGTTTCTCAATAAGCATACATCTGATTTTAAGTTAAACTAAATGTTAAGGGCTTGGTAGATTTTGAAATATTCTTCGGGAATCCCACCCCGTGAAAAACAATTGTTGGCTATTTATTTTAAAACTTATATATTAAACAGATTTAATTTTGGGTTAGTTGAGAATAAAGGGCGCATTAATATTCCGTAATTTTTGTATCTACCATCTACCAAAAAAGTTTTAATGTAACTACTTAAAAAGATAACCGCTCTTTTATGTTTAAGTATTTCTCACATGCTTAATAAATCTTACTACCTACGCACTAAAGCACAAAATGCAATTTTATTTACAACGTGTAAATTCCCTTTTATACATATCCTCTATAAAATAGCATTTAAATGAAGTGCAAATTACCGGAACGAAGGTACTCGCTATAAAGAAGAATATATTGAATAAAAAAACAATTGCCAATTGTTGCTGACCCTATGACGACATTAGGCAAATACATAAATGCTCAAGTAAAACGTGTTCTAAACCACTTTCTCTTTCCTTCACCTAGTATTTAACTATAGCTATCTATTAATTTAAGTACCAAGATTAAGCAAGCAAGCATTATATGAACACAAATTGTCTAAGATTATCTCACAAGCGTGGTAATAAATGGAAAGCACCTTAAATCTTCAAGCATACTTTAAGAATTAGGTTGAAAAACATGGATGAAGTACCCGATTATGTCAGAATTCGTGACCATTCACGTTCCGTTGTTCATACCCCAATGGAAGACAGTATGCTTACATTTATGTGTTTGTGAATTTTTTTTCATGTGATTGTCAGCAAACGAGCTGACGGATTACCTGATTGTAAGCAATCAGCGTCGCCCATGGACACCCACAACAACAGAGGAGTTACGAGTGCCTTTTGGGGATTTGGAGATTTAGCTGGTTGTTATACCGGTTTTCTGAGACGCCGTGGTATCACTCCGGTCGGGCCGACCCATTCCTACCGAAGCATGGCTCTCCCACACTTAAAATTGGATAATTTAAATGTAAAATATAGGTACATCAGCTATTTCAAAAATAGAATAAATTTAATTTAAAAAAAGCAGCTGATGCAAATTATTTGATAGCTAGTTCGTTTAATTCTTTGTATTTCAAATAATTACACTTTTAATCAAAATGATATTTTTATCTATCTATTTCGAGGATTACGCTAGTCGCGTATCATTAAATTTATTTGGATTATACTTGAGTAAGACAAATATATACAAGCGTAAATGTGCATTATGAACATTTTATAGGTAGGTATATTTAAATATTAATACAATACGACGATTGCATTCGTGTCGCGGGTTCCAACTTAAAGTTTTCAGACGGTCTGCATGTGACTACATGTGAAAAAAATTAGTGTAGGCCACTGGCCAATGTTTTTTAACGGTTTTCTTAAGTAAACAAATGATTTGGGATTTTTAAATCATTCTTATACTCATTCTACATTCGATATATACATACAAGTACCTAATTCTGTTTTTCAAAAGACCGAATACTCCTTAGATTTCTTCTCCTGCCCTGGGCAAGGCGAGAGAGTCTGACTCTTACTGACTAAAAACCAGCCAGTTCCTTCTCCTTCTCCAGGCCGTGCCGCGGTACATTATAATGCTTGCAACCACAACCCCTGCTGAATGAACAATAATGATCTCAACACTTTAAGTATACCTTTGTATGTAAATATAGAAATAAAAAAGTGCATTTCCGCAACGTCCGACATATTTTTTTTACCGTTAAGGCAGCTGACAATGAGTAATCGACGCGTTGTAAATTCCTGTATATATGTCACGGTAAAGTTAAATTGTATGAAAAATAATTTACTGCCGGAGTGCCGGTCCCTAAAGCCGAGAAAGGGTGAATTAAGTGTGTAATTAATTATTTTACAGGAAGTAGTTATTTTTTTAATATGATATGGCG